TATATTTAATCTAGCTATTAAATGTTAGAACGGCCACTTAAATTTTTTTAAGGTATGTTTTTATTTTTTTAAAGGATTTAAGGGACACTGGTCTTTAGTTGGACGCAGTATGCAACCTCACCACTAGATGCCACTAAATCCGACACACTGCTCCTTTTAAAGAAATATTTTCTAGTTTAGTTTTGACTATTACAATCAAAGTTGTTTATATCTTGAAATACAACCAACAACACATTAATATATTACTTGTTTAACTAGACTGTACAGTAAATAAACTGCAATTAAAAAAAAATTACATTTCACAAAGATAATACAACGTACCTCAAATTACATAATACCAATAACATTAAGCTGAATGTTGGTGATGTGAGATTAGCTTAAATTTGTCGACACATCACATTTATAATAGTAACTAGACATCATATGGACTCCATACACAGTGAAAGACAATTAAACTAAGTAAACTTATTTATATGTCTTTTAAACTAATACTCAGATTTTTTACATGTAAATATTTTAATGTAAACGTTAGCAGCAACAGTTCCATTTTTACACTAATGAAAATTCCGAAACATAATGTCTCTGATTCAAAACATTCAAATCACAGATTTCAACAAGAGGTGATTATAGCGTTCCGGTTCAGTAGCTTTGTTTGTGTTTAACAAAAGCAGCGCTACAAAGTGTGTAAACTGTACTTAAATACAGAGTTTTATTATTTAAGTCACTTTCTTTCCATGCAAGCACAAAGTCATTTACACACTGATTCAAACTAAAGGTGAATAAAACTAAAAACGAAATGTTTACCTTCATTAAAATAATCTAAAGTGGGCTGACAGTGATATGCTCAAACACTCGTCTTCCATCCCTTTGCTGATGAAGCAGCGCTCTCTCTCTTTTTATCTTAAGTTAATGAAGATTTGGCATTTCACCTAAAAACAAACAGAGAGGACGGGTGAAACATCGTACAAGTAGGCGACTTTTAAACGCATACAAAATGCTGTGTGATGTAGGAATCTTACCTCGTGCCAGCGCAGTGTGACGACGGGCAGGGCCAGGTGACAGTGGGGGCAGGTGCTGATCTGGTCCGGGTCTCCTGCAACGACACCGGTTCTTCTGCCGGGCCCGTCCGACTGGGAGCCTGCCTGGTAGCACCTTGAAAGCCAAGGGGTGGCCCTCTGCCCGGTGAAATAATCCTCTTCCTCACTCACTTCTTCCTCCTCTGACGCAGCCTCTTCGTCATCCAACCTGGCTGCTAGAAGACACACCATCTGGTTTGGAGGATACAAACAAATGTATTATTTTAATGACAAAAATGCTGAAAAGGGGATTTTGAGCTTCCAGCGAGATTATGACGAAATAAATTATGGGAAGAAAACACATTTCTTTCTTTTGCAAAATTAAAAACCAACATGGGAACGACCGTAATCCAAGATGGCGACGGTGAAATCGACGAACACGAGGCCAAACCAAACCAATAGGTGACGTCACGATGACTACGTCCACTTCTTATATACAGTCTATGGCAAAAACCACGATGTTGACCAGCCAGTTGCTAACTTTGTCTGTCCGTCATTGTTACGCAAGATTATTATTTTAATCGCTTTCGTGCTCCACATTTAGCTTCGGGGATTTTTCCCCCAATAATATGTAATAGAAACCGTTTACCTCATGTTCTTCTATATCCTGAACAGGAAAAGATGCCATACATCTGCTACAACGCGCCGTTGTTTTTGCTGTGAAAAAGAAACCAAGACACGGTCGTAGTTTAATAGAAAAGACATGACGATAGCTGCGTTTGTGCTGAAGCTTCACATCCAACATCTCCTTACTCTTGTTCGGTGGCACTACTTTGCTGGCGGTTGGAGGAGGACCCGAGCCGCCGTTGGCAGCCGAGCAGGCGGCGCCGTGGCCGGGCAGGTCCTTCAGGGTGACGTAGCGGCCGCAGTCCCTGCAGAGCTCGGTGCGACTCCCGCAGGCCAGACGGTGTTCGTCCAGATCTTTAGACGGCAGCTCCAGCTCGCAGAACGGACAACTCTGCAGACGCTCCTCACACTCATCGGACTGAGAGGCGGAGCAGAGTTATAAAATCCTTTACTACCCTAACTTTCTTTGGCGTGAAAGTGGAAATGAACTGATGAACTACATGGTGTTTTAATCCAGAAATATTGTCAATCCTTGATTATTATTTTTTTAAGTATGGTTAAAAAGGAACGGCACCCTAAATATCCTGTCTTCTCGTCCACAAGCTCCACAAACAAATGAATCCTACATTTCCCATAATGCAACAAGATCATTAGAGGTGTTTCATATAGAGAGGCAAAGTCCCGCCCCTTCCGGGTTGGCAAATTGGCAAACATCATATTTCATACAATTCAAACAGGATCAAAAAGTTATTTGTCTCTCATCGTTGACTACTGTTCATATTTATTCCAAAATATAGTCCACCAGTGTGTGTGTGTATATATGTGTGTGTGTGTGTATATGTATGTATATGTATGTATGTATGTATGTATATATATAT